GTAAATCAATGTATTTTTTGTATTGTTATATTTAATGGTAATTTATTATGTACTATTGTATTTCAATGTATTTTATCATGTTGTAAGCCGCCCCGAGGTTTCGGCAAGGGGCGGCATAGAAATGTTATAATAATAATAATAATAATAATAATAATAATAGTAATAATAATAATAATAATAATAATAATAATAAATATAGAACTGGTTTGGCCTTTAAGCCAGATAGCCTAGCCCTGACCATGCTGCTTCACAGCAGTTTGAGTGCTGGATTCTGAGGATAGGGTTCTAGTCCCAGCTCAGCCATGAGGCTCCTTGGGTGCTTTTAGGCCAGCCATGGATTCTTATCCTTGCCTACCTCACAGGGTTGTGAGGATTTTGAGGAAAGGAAGAGAACTTGTAAACAACTTTGGGTTCCTTGCAAGAGGAAGAAAGCAAGGTATAAATGCAATAATAACAGCAATGATGTCCCTTCCTGGCCAATCTCATTCCAGTATGTGCATGGGAGAGAACATATGTGCATGGGAGAGACAGGATTAGACAGCAAGTGGTCATGCACTGCAGACTAGTTAATTTCACCAGCCCTGCATACCTGTAACAGAGTTCCTGCTCGCGGGTCAATGATCCTAATTTTCTTGTCCCTGCAGGCTGTAGCTAAGAGGCTGCCGTCTGTGTTGAATGACATGGAAAGAATCACGTCGGAATGAAAGCCGATTGTCTTCACGGGGGCCTGAATTACAGACTCTTTGGTGTCCAGATTCCAGATCAGGACCTGAGGCAGAGGGAAGTCCACTTGTGAGTGTTTTCTGAGCTCCTAGTGGAATCCCAACACATTAAAGAACCAGGCAGCAATGGTGGGCCTCTGGCTCCATTCACCATTTGCTTGTGTCAGATTGTGCATTGCTCCAAAGCCCCCTGTGAAACTCCACTGGCAAACAGGAAAGAGGGAGAGGAAGCTGGACAACATGGAAACAAGAAATAACTCAAAATCCTGCACCAAAGAGATTTTGCAACATCAAAAGCTGCATTCTGCCATTGGGGTGCGTTTCACAGTCCATTAAAGGGCATCAGACTGGGTAAGTCTGCATCACACAGCTCTCAAATACCTTGCACATGACCCGCAAGAAAACAAAGCGGAATAACAGGATCTCGGGTCTGAAATGAAAATGCACAAACCCCTGACTCACTTTGTAGTCATAGCCAGTGCTGAAAAGGATGTTGCTTGCTGTCGGGTGCCATTCGATGAGCCCTACCCTCCGTGCATGGCCAAGGAGCTCCTTCTCTGCTTCCGTGATGCTTTTTGTTAGTATGTGCTGAGGAATGTTCCATATTTTAACCTGCAAGACACAAATGTACACCTGAAGCTAAGCAGGATCTGTCAGGCAACACACTCATCCTCAGTAGAGCCAGTGTGGTGCAGTGGTTAAGAGCAGGGACTGGGACTCAGACGATCTGGGTTCTAGTCCCCGCTCAGCCATGGAGCCAACTGGGTGACTCTGGGCCAGTCACAGACTCTCAGCCCAACCTACCTCACAGGGTTGTTGTTGTGGGAATAAGATGGAGGAGGAGAATGATGTAAGCTGCCTTGAGTCCTTTGTAGGAAAAAGGCAGGATATAAATCAATCAATCAATCAATCAATCAATAGCAGGGGCATTCAAGATCAACAGCACTCAGGAACAACAAGACCAATCAGCCATGGGAGTGGCAGAACGTGGGATGGAGAGAGCAATGAAGGCACTGGCTAGAGCAGGGAAGAGCAAACTCCCAGTGCATCTCCATCCAGCTCTGTTTTCTCCGACTGTCATCACAAGCAACAGGAAAAACAAATGCAAGCAGAACGCGAGAGAGAGGCTGTACAGTACTTCTTTTTCCACAGCAGGAGTCAAGCTCTGCATCTACCAAAAATGGGCAGGGCATCTCTTTGGTTTCACCTCCTGAATGTTTGATTTAGAACAGAAACACCAAATACAGAAACATTCTTTGGGCATAGGCCCTGAAATAGTCCCTTAGTGCTGGTTACCATTCATTTCCCAGCCTTCCTCCAAAGATCAGTGTTTTAGCCTCTCAACAGCATGGGGAGATGGGTTAGGCTGAGACATCGTGACATATCAAGGGCTACCTGGTAGTCAGGTTATGAATTTGCACTTCAAACATCTAAACCCAGGAACACCACACTCCTTCATTAGCAAATATCCACTGGAACCATCCCAGCAAATGAGGCCTTTACAATCAAGGTAGACATGACAGTGCCCTGTCTCTTCACAGGAGCATCCAACTAGGTTATACGCTCTCCCCTCTCGCTTGCGCATGAATTGCACAGGGGTTTGTTTTTGTTTCTTTCATTTTCAGAGCTAACCATGGTTCTCTGTTCCATCTGCATCATCATTTTTACTAACTGCAGTTAGCTCTACAACGTGATTGACAACCATGGTTAACAATGCCTTTTCAAGCTACAGTTTGGGCTAACCATGTTGGTAACAGTTACTGCTGACATAACATTAACTCTGGTTATGAAGGGGAAGGGGACCTCTGGCCCTAGACTTAGTCTGGGGCACGGAGGTTCCCTATCTAGCCCACAAGACCTTCCTGGATTCCTCTAGCGGGTGGGCTCAGTTTCCAATCACCACCCAGTAGAAGAATCCCCATGTTCCCTACAGCTGCAGATGGGAGTTAACAGCAGAGGATGTGGCCAGGGAAGGTGCTGGAGTAGACTCTTCCCTTCCCAGCTCAACCAGGAATGAACCGGCTATTCCAGCTATGGGCTGTCATGGCAATCCCCCATGCTCTGCATTCTTTCCCAGTGGGAGAGGGTTTGAGCCAGGCCTGGCAAAGCTGTTATGCCGGGAGGATAAGTCTCCAAAGACCACAACTTTGATGTCATTCAGCCTGACAAGGACTAGGTGGGGTGTCATCAAGCCCTAGCCCCACTCAATTCTTACAGCCCTCCACAGGCCTGTAGGATACTCTTGATCTTCTAAGCATTGTTAGGAAATGAAGCACAGTTCTACCTACACTGAGCAAGTATTTCACAGCCCCAGAACATTCAGAAACTTACAGTGGCATCTTCGGAACATGATGCTATTACAAAGTCGTCAAAAGGATTCCACTTAATATCTAAAACATTCCCTCTGTGCCCACAGATGCGAGGGTAATGTGGGTCAAGCTTTCCTGTCTGGAAACAAACAAAAATAGTTAGTGACACCACTACAAGGTCTCTGATGAGGCCTGTCAATTGACACAGATCTGGATTTTCTAGGTCCTTTTCTGCCTAAACATGCATAGGATTGCACGTTTAGAGCGGTTTCCTACTCCTATGAGACCACCAGTGTTACAGTAGGTTAACTTATCCCTTGTATTTATTATCAATGACTGATCATTTGCATTAAATGTGTTGTTCGTGTGTGTGGGTGCGTGTGTGCGTTAATATATAATAACATCACTGCTACTAAATATTACTAATAATCTCTATTTAGATATAATATAAATAAATACTCAGAAGGTAAATTTTGAATTTCTACTTTTGTTGCTGCAATTCTATTATCTGGATTGTAACCTGATGATTAATGAGGCTTAACCTTAATTAGAATTAAATGATACTTTTAAGGAATACTTAACACTCCCCCCTCCTCTTCCCCCACCTCAAGGGCCATGTAGCCAACTCTGGCATGTTGGGATGTAGCAATGTGGAGTACACTGAATATGTAAGGAACGGCACTGCACTTTCACACTGTGCTCCTTTGGATTACACCATGTGTTTATCAGGTAAATGTAGCATTTGTGCTCCAGGTGTGTATTGGAAGGGCCAGGTAGAACACAGTCCTAGTGAGAAATCCACTCCTAAGTAGATAGTCCTGGGAGATATAAACCTGAGACACTCAAAATAAAATTATCATAGTGAGGAGGGAGAATAGAAAGTGATGGCTGGATGTTGAGCAGAGCAGGAGAGAAAGGAAAAACCTGGGTTGATGTTGACGCCATGGAGGTTGCATGGAGTGCAAGAGGAAATAGCAGCCTTAATTGGATAAAACTCTGCTGGGTGCAATGCAGGTTTCAGGTTGCAGCTAGGAGAGCTAAGACAAAGAAGAAAATAATGGCTGATCCCCAACTTCTGAAAAAATAAACTCTAGAACCAGATCACCCATTATTTGCTGTTTTGTCCCAACAGCCCAAGGTGCAACCTGAAACCTGCCTATCTGCCACCATGTGGAGTCTAATTCAATTCAGTCCGTTGTCATGTCCAAAACTCCATTTTACAGCTTTGACTAAACACAGACTTATATTTTCTAAATGCATGCAGAAAGCAAATGCTTCCCTTTGGCAGATGTCCACACTCAATGCATGGTTGCCAGGGGCAGTGAGAGAGAGTCCCACATCTTGCCTCTGGCACCCATGGTGCCTCCATCACCGAGTGGTAACAGTTTTCTTCCCTCCTTTTAACATCCAGCCTCATGAGGAGGCTCCAAAGAACTTGAAAGCAGCTCACTGTTTTGTGACATTTTTTTCCCCAAGAAATCCAGAATGTGAATTTTGAAATTTTATAATAAGTCATCAAAATAAACAGTGGGCCCGTAAAACAACCATACAACAAGAAGGGATTTTTTACATCCTATCAAAAATGCCTTAAGAACATTCCAGATTCCAAGAGGGAGATAATTAACCCACAATGTGTCCACATGCTGCACGTGAGTCACTTCAGCTTGCATGAACAACCTCTGATCAGAAATTATGAAGTGTGGCATGTAAACCAGTAATATCTCCCCAGTACGAAAGGCAAAAGAAGTTTTGGCAGAGTTTTTGTCCAATTATGTACTTCAGCTGCACAGTTAGACAAAGAGAAAACAACTCGCTTTGTCCACATGATCAGCAACTCTGCTGGAGTTCTACTGCTGTTCATACTGAGACAATGGATACTAGGATTTATTTTAGTTTAGTTTACTATTTATTTGCAATTCAGTGACAATCTTTCTACCTGAGGCTGTTAATCAGGTGATAATCTATTGAGCCTACTTTTGGTTTCATTGCAGATTGATATCCAAGAAGTACACCAAGCATTTTTTTTCCTGCTTTTCTGTTATATGCCTCTAGGTGGCATTGTAGTACAGCAGAATAGTGCAAATACACAAATGAAAAAAATAATTCATTTCTTTCATGTTCTTAATTATTGAATTTTCCCCACCAAAAACAAAACAAAAAACCCAAATGGGCTTGTTAGACACAGAAGCAAACTGGAAGGCCTTCTAAAGAATTTGTAAACAACAGTGTACAGCGAATGACAAGTGCACAATAAACGTCTTCAGTAGAAAAGCCCTGTGTGATGAACATATGAGAGTAAACAAACCCTTGGCGCAAGCAAGAGTGTCCCACTTCTCCAACCTCCCTGCCGCACACACACCAGCTATATGAGACAGACTTACACGGCACCTACCTGATTTATAGGAATAACAAGGAAGGCTCCTCCACCAACACATTCTGTCACAACAGCAATGAAACGTGGATTCACAGCACAGAAGTGGTTGTCATGGACACTCTGGGTGATGGGCACACAGTCGTAGCAATTCTCCTTCGTGGCTGCCTTGCCGTAAACATGGCGGAATTTTGAACTCCGATACTGAGGGTACCATGACATCTGTGATGTACAAAGACAATGTCCCCACACCCTTTAACTTTTCACACAGGTGAAAACAGGAATGCTTGTCTGTATGTCACACACACCCATTCTTACATCTGTGTTTATGACTGTGTCTTCCCAACAGAAATACCCACATAAAACACTACATGTCCCTAAGGGTTCTTCACTGAATATTGCATTCATTCCGTAGGTGTGTTAGTAAACTGATCCAGCAAACTAAAATGTGGTGCATGCTTTCTTGGAAGTATGGCCCCTGAATACCACCCCAGTGGATACATTTTTAAGCTGGGAGACAGGGAGGAATACTTTCCAAATACGGAATCCAGAAGTCATTCCTCCAAGTCAGACTGGCTGATGAACTTACTATATGGTATTGTGGAGAAGGTTCTAGGAAAGATGCTTCCCAAGAAACTCTGGGTCAAGGTCACTGTCAAAACCTTGAATTATGGCTGAAAACTGTCTAGCAACCAGTAAAGAGCTTACTGCAATGCTATAATATGCTCTGCATATTCAACTTCAGTTAACTGACAGGCAGCTTCTGAGTCAACTAAAGTGGCCACATAAGACAAATAAGTGGCTGTCTCTAAGGGCAGCCGATATCAGAATATACTGTGGTAATCAAACCAGGAAATGACCAAGGAAGGAGGGGCACCTGCCAAATCTTCATAAGGGTAGGAATGCATACCATGACATCTTAGCTCAAGGATGGGGAACCTTCAGTCCACAGGTCTAGCACAGCCTACAGAGGTTCCCCATCCTAAAGAAGAGAGCCAGTGTGGTGTGACAGCCAGAGCTGTGTAGTGGTGGGACTGGGACTCAGGCGACCTGGGTTCAAGTCCCCACTCAGCCATGGAGCAACTGGGAGATTTTGGGCCAGTGCCAGACTCTCAGCCCAACCTACCTCACAGGATTGTTGTTGTTGTGGGGATAAGGCTGAAAGCAGGAAGAGAGTGATCTAAGCTGTTTTGAGTTTGTTATAAGACAAAAGCAGGATATCAATCTAACAAGTAAATAAGTTCTCCATCTCACCCCAAGTCCTCTAAGGCAGCAAGGAGTGGAATCACTACCGTTATCTCCGATCAGTGATTGGGATAATAGCAGGAAATCCCTTTAGTGCAATTTGGGAGGTCCAGTGCCATGCAATGTGCTTTGCCCACCCCACACCCTCCCCGAGGAGCTTAGCTGAAGAAGCTTTTTTATTATTAAATCAAAACCATATTGTCATTTGAAGAGGTCAAGTGCTTTGCCAAGTAGAGCTCAAGGCTAAATTTCAACATCTTTGTTAATCCCCCTTATACACTCTAACTGCAAATACGCATGGTGATGCCTGCCTACAGTAAAAAGAAATGTAACCAACAAGTTTCCTGGCATTAAACTCAGAAGAGATAGTTATCTCTCCTTTAAAGAGAGCAGGATATGTCTGCCCCTGGGCATAGCAGTCATATTTCCCTGATATATTTATATCTGCAATTTAGTGTCTCCTTCACTGCATGCTATAATCACCCCCCTTATCTTCCAAAGTGGGGGCCCAAGACCTTGATTCTACCCCGCACTTTTTACTGAGACATCATTCCCACGGAGTTCGAAGCAACTCGCAGGTAACTGTGAATAGGACTGCAAGTCCCAGAGTTCTGAAGTGATACGAGTAATTTAGATTTGCTGGCTGGCCACAATGATAGCTCCTTTGCTTGGCTCATGCAGTCTCCTTTTTAAAAAAGTAAACCTTGTTGTCTAATCGCAGGTAATACAATCAACCTTCTTGCATGGGCACTGTTCCAGAGAACAAACATTACAATTTCACTCCTACCCAGCTCCACATTTTAGTTATTTTCACTATGAATTCAGGCCACCCATCGGACTGCCTCTATCCAATTACATAATACTCACCACACATACTAGAACAAGCTTGTAAGTACCCGATCACCTGTGGCAGGTTAGAAGTCACCTCCGGGTGATCAGGCAAGACAGCATTTGAAAACTTCCAGGCCATAGCTTCTTCTGAATAACATGGAAAGTGGGCAATCTGTCAACCAGCTGCTTTATTTTCCAAGTTGCACAAGAAAGGAGAGGAAAAAAGGGGAGAAACTCACAAGGAAAGCAAAATAAAACACTTGAGGAAAGGGGTCCTGTTCCTGACTGAGTTCTGTAAGTAGAAAGGTTGGTATCTGCGTTCTGCATGTGGACAAGGAGATGTCCATTGGCTACCAAGAACAGATGCTCCATTCAGGCATTTGGCACCCATGAAGGGGGTAATGAAACAAGCCACCTGACTCCTTGGATGCTGGCCACACGCCCTACTACCATGAGTTTGACACAAACTTGTGGGGAATTTGTACCACACACATACAAGCTTGCAGGGAGAGGAATGCTGACCAACAACCATCAACATCCTGGGGTCTGTGCCTGCATATATATTCTTCATAGACTCACAGAACAGCAAAGTTGGAAAGGGCCATGAAGGGCACGGGGTCCAACCCCCTGTTGTTGCAGGACACCAACTGGCACCATCCCACTCAGACGGCTGTCCAGGTTCTTGCTGTGCTTTGTACATGTCCAACATCCATCTGGCACCAGACACATGCACAGGACTAGGATGTGATTAGACAACATTCTCTCCTCAACTGAAGGCAGCAATTTTGACAGATTTAGTAAGAGATGGGCAGCATCTCATGGTGCTACCTGAAAATCAGGAGGGATGGTCTTTGGACACAGAGACCATCTAGATATACAGCTCCTAGCACCCCCAGTCAAAAGACTGTGAGAAGCTATTTTGTCTTTCCCTCCTTGATGGATTTTTGTGCGAAAAAGGATGGAAAAAAACAAATGGGGAAGTGGAAGGGTTATACATGGAAGACAACATCAACTAGATACTCAGTGAAATTTTGTGAACGAGGCAGGGCATTTGCACAATGAAAGGCTCAGATGGTGACATCTGAGCTTTGACCACAACTTCCCAGCTTGCTGAGCCACAGTTTAGCAAGCTGAGAACCAGGTTCAGACCCACGTACTTTAGCCCCTCACTTTGCCTACTCCTTTTACTCCTGGTTAAACTACAGTTTCCTGTTACATCCAAGTCAGGAAACTAACTTTTAAAGACCCTGGGTTCAGACAGGTTCACCTTACTGGGCTGCATATTCAGCCTCCATTCAGGGGATGTCACGTGGCATGAATGCTGTGACAATGGGTCATGCGAGGGTTAAACAACCTTTGAATAACCCCCAGACAATAGAGTTGTCAAACCCTCTTGCCTTAAGTCATGCTTGCTAGGTTTACATAAGCAGAGGCTGCATTTTCAAAATGGCGGCTGCCCACATGCTCCACATGCCACAACTTCATGTCATCTAAATTTACCGAGCCAGATTTTAAGATGTGTTCACAAACCAACATTAAACCACAGTTCCCTGTAATAGGAAGCTGCAGTTTGAGCTATAAGGGCAGTTGAGGGGAAGGGAAATGTTCAAAGCTCTTTCTTGGCCTGCTCAAAATTGCGTTGTACATGCCCAAATAGTTGCACCTGAAAAAACCCATGGAGTGAAACCATGCCCCAAACACCTCTTGTTCTGCCAGTATGTGAGGGCCAGACTCAACATGACAGACAGCAGAGGGGGCCTACTCTTCACACATGAAAACAGCACATGCGCTTGGCAGTTTGAAAGTTTTCACTCATTCAGCTCCGATCCTGGAAGTGAGCCGGGCTGGGAGCAGCAAAGCACAGGCAGATAAGGGCTGGGAGGAGCAGCTTTCGCCCCACACCAGCCAGCACCGGCTTTTTCTCATAAACAGACCACCCTGATTCCCACCTTATGCATGAACAGAGCATATATGTAGTAAAAATACACAGAGCTGTCTTTCAAGTCTACTTTGGCCCTGAGCAGTTCCAGCTACACTCCTAACTGCAGCCCTTTCTTAAACTATTAACCAAAACAGGGAAACAACTCAGGGTGGGGAAGCAAGGAAGTTCAGATCCAGTTTCTTTGCTCTCTATTTTTTACCCCTTTTGCCTGCTCTGAAACTCATTTGCTGTGCAATCTCTAGGACTAATATTCACTCTGTTAAGTTCATTCAACACATTTCACAAAGGTGATGGGAACTGGAGGCCAGCACATAGTAGATCACCTTCAAAATTAATAAGAGAAGATGGGAGTGCTAACCTTGCTCCTTTCTTTCACATCTCTCCATTTGCTCCCTCCCACACTGTTAAAAACTGTAAACTCCTCAGGGCTGGGACCTGTCTTTCTGACTCTCTTTATGTCAGGGCAGGGCAACCTGGGACCCATCTAGCCAAACTCTGCTCACGACCAGTACAGCAACACCCCCCCCACTTTTTTGTTACCTGCCTGAGAGCCAAAAAAGGACTTTATTTTAAAACTGTGTCCAGCTGCTACCAAGTTTTTATTATTGTTGTGCTGCAGTTATTTAGTTTAGGGTAGGCACAGGGCCAATTTGAATTGACCTGGTCCTCCAACATGGCAGGCAGGGTGGATTTTAAGATCTGGCTGGGGCCACCCTGTGCCTACTCATGAGAAAGCGAACCAGAGACCTAGTTGCTAGATACAGATTTGAAGCAATGTCTGTTTTAGAACAGATACGGCAAAACAGCATGGCTTATCGGACCCACAGTGTGTGCATAGTCCATGAGGAAGGCGGTTAATGGCCTGGCTGGGCCAGGGTGAGTGTGGAGTTTGCCCAGCAGCAATGCCTACAGTAGCAGAAATCATCAGGAACAGCACTGAGGAGCAGTAGCAGCCATGAATGTCTGCAGCACAAACTGCTGTTAAAGACATAAAAGCAGGACATGTTTGTTTTTCCCCTGGTCCTTCGGCCACTGCACCCGTCAGCTATATACTGTGACTTGCCATATGCCTAACAACCTGCCCACTTCTTGGAGCTGTGGGCCAGCAACAAACCCAGGAAACTTATCATGCCCCCAGAGGACTGTGATCATTGCCTAATGGGCTAGCCCTGTGCACCCCAATTGCATGGGCCTGTATCACAGTGAGGATAAA